GTCTGGAACTCGCGGCCGGCCTCCTGGCCCGACCGCAATCTGCTGTCCGAATTGATGAGTCTGTCAAACCTGTGTATGCGTGCAGATGCCCTCCTGGGCTCTCTATGAGGGGTTTCCGGCTCACCTCCTGCCGGAACCACGCTTGAACGCAAGGCCTGTGATGACCGCACTCTCCTGCGCGCCGGTGTCACGTACGCGCCTTGCGTGCTCACATCACTTCCGGCTGTGCCCACGTCAAGCATCGTGCTTGCCCAACGCGACTTCCGATTGGACCGGAAGAGAAGCTGGCGGGGAGCGAGATCTTCCCGCCCTCCTTCCTCCATGGCTTACGCCGCCATCTTGGGCCTGCACACCCTCACCTTCCGCTGCCCGGATCCTCTGGCTCCCAGTTTCAGCTAGCTGCTCCTGGTGCACGGCCGAGCCGCCACCTCTCCTCCTCTCCTGGCGCCAAACTGGACTTGGGGATAGACGCAATGGAGGCCTTGATCACCTGGCCCTCCGTCCGTCTCGAGCTGCAGGCTGACCGGACACCTCATCCTGTGGGACACTCCTCACACCCGTTACCAGCTCCTCCAGGGCCCCCTGTCCGTGGGTCTCCAGATAAGATTGCAGCATCCTCTGCAATTCAGCTCCATTGGCAGCCATGACAGCAGCACTCAGATCAGGTCAGAATAGAGTCGTCGTTTAAGTGATTTTTTTTTTTTTTTTTATCAATAAATGTTTTTTTTTTTTTTTATTACAGGGGACAGTCAGCCAGGAAAAAAACTGTCAGGAGCCCTCAACTGATCCTGCCAACTGGTAAGTCCTGTCCCTCTCCCTTTCCTTAAGAACCCCCAACTCTTGCAACATTGTATCTTCCATGATACAGCCCACACTCTTGGGCAGCAGTCATGTCCCCCCTTCCTTATTGTTCCAGGGGGAATCTAAATGCAAGGGATACTCTCAACCCCTTACTAAAGAGAAAACAACACGATACAAGCAAAAATAGGTTGCGCCAATAATATTATTTTTGCTTGTATTGTGGTGTTTTCCTAGCACTATAGCATCCTTTCAACATAGTCTTCTTCTCCACACCAAAACTGAGTACCTAATAATGCATGCTGTCACAGCTGAAAAACAAAGTTGTTTTCCTAGCACTATAGCTCCCTATAGTGCCCCCTCTCTCCCTTCATCACTTACCTGATTCCAGTGCCGATGCCCCTCTGTGCTGGTTCAGGTTCCGCCTCTGCTCCTCTTTGCCGCCCTCACATTAGGACTTCCCCCACAGAAAAGAATTGTATAATACTTTCCTATGGGGTTTTGGCTGACGATGGAAGGCCTCATGCATAGCATGAGGACGTCCAGCGTCAGGAAACAACAAGTTGCCTAACCACCCGAAGTCCCTCTAGTGGCTTTTCAAGCCAGTTTCATGAATGGAGAGTCAAAGATTGGCTGAAAGGGTCAGCTGACCGCTCTCGTCCAATCAGTGGCATCATTGCCTGATTCTGCAAGAGCATAACTAGTTTCACGATTTTGAGAGTCAGGGAGATTCGGCACAGGAACAAGGATTTTGGGGTAACCCCTTCAAGCTATAGTGGTAGGAAAATAACGTTGTTTCCTTAGCCCTATAGTGTCCCCTCTCCGCTTTTATCACTCACCTGGTTCCAGCGCCAATGTCACTAAGCGCTGGTTCAGGCTCCGCTCCTCCTCACCATGCTTGCATTAGGACTTCCAACATAGGAAAGCAGTGTATTATTTTTTGTGGGGTTTTGGCTGACTCATGCATAGTGCAAGGACGTCCAGCGTCATTTAGGTGACCAAATGTCAATTAGGTGACCAAATGTCTAGTGGCTTTTCAAGCCTGTTTTATAAATGGATAGTCAGAGATTGACTGAGAGTGTCAGCTGACCACTGTCTGATAGACAGCGACTAGAGGTGGAGTTAACTCTGCAAGGTAATTATTGCAGTTTATCAAAAACTGCCATTATTACAATTGAAGGGTTAAGGAGCCTGGGACATTGTAATCAGTCCACTTGAGCTGAAGTGGCCTGGGTGCCTACATTGTCAGTATGGGTATGGGTGCCCCTACTGGTCCTCTTAAATGCGTTATTCAAATGCAATAAAAAAATATGCAGTTTTTGCCTAGACTATTCATTTAATTAAGAGGAATTTGTAATGGTCAATTTGTATTTGTTAATTTGTGGCAAAATCTGTTTCTTTTTTTTTTTTTCAAGATTAAAACATGATTTGATTCTGAGCAGAGTAGCCATTTTAGGCTAAAGTATGGAAGATTCTAAATTAAAATGTGACATTGTCTACATGCATGACCAGCACAATAACAGATAGGTTTAATTTAGTTTCAGAAGTGGAAATCGTAACTACGTAAAACATTCATGCACACAGTCCATAGATTATATAAATATTCTGCTAGACGTATTGTAAGCAGATAATGCTTATTTTTCTTCCTTTGCAATGCACATTAGATAGTTTTTCACATTTTATGAGGCATTACAAGCATTAAATTGCTCTAAATGTCATAGTGCAATGACGTCAGTTGCAAAACCAGAGAATAAGTGGCATTAATGCAATCACCAATGTGACAAGCACTGCAGAGAAGGAGTTTAAATATAGTATTCAGACGAGAGGTCTGCCACTCATGGGTGACAAAATATACCTTTTCAGAAAAGATTATTGTTGTTTTTACTGTGGAGTGAGGTGGGGGTTTATGCTTGAAATAACTGTGTAATCCTTTTACGTGGTAGAGAATGAATCACAAGTTTGTGTCTCCCTTACGCCAAGACTGTCATAGCTAAACATAGTATTCCATAGTATTCCATAGGCAATCCATTTAGGCATTGTATGTGACATGTCACTGTCACCTTACCTGTGTGCCACTCAGTCTTCATTTTTAAAGCTGCTAAAAACAAAATGTTATTTTTGCAGGGAAAGACGTACTTTTATGGCTTGCCTGTGACCGTGAAAATCTCTTCTTTTCAGATGTGTTAGTTTAAATTAAGAGGAATATCTGTCCAGATATCAGTGATTCTAAATTCAATGATATCGTGTTTATTAAAAAGTAATCTATTATAAGAGGCTTTTATAGACCATCCATCACAAGTCAATTAAACGTCATACTTAGGAATTTTCTCAATGAATTTTAATGCATTCATTATAATAGAATAATACTGAAACTTTCACCATTTCCATTCAAATCTGTAGCTAATCAATATACAAACATTACATTTATGACCTTCCATTACTTTTTTTCAAACTCATTGAGCTAGTTCACATTGTAG